AAAAAAAAAAAAAAAAGGTCCCGATTCGAGAGGTCAGGGTGGCCGCCAGTGCAGAGGCGGGAGTGGAGACTGGGGGACCACGTCCCCCAAGTTGCTGAACTGATCACTGGAAGAGAAGCTCAAACGATTCGGCTCCCACCTCTCCATAAAGTAGAACTCTGATTGTGCAACTGAGCACCATAGACTTTTAAGTAATTTAATTACGAAACCTTTTTTCTAATTCTTGGAGACGCTGGAAAATAGTCGTAGTAGCAGTTTAAACTCTGTAGCATACTTTTGGTTTCCCGGGCGTGTGTTTATGTGGGCTGTGTCCTTACCAAGTCTGAGGGTCAGTGTGTGCTGGAAGGTCCGCGGGGCTGGGGACAGTGAGGAGGGACTGGCACCTCCCCCGCCCCCCCCATGGGATGGTCTTAGCACAGAGTCCTGGGGGAGCTGGGGTGCCAAGCCTCCTGGGAACTGAGGCCAGCTGGGCGCTGTGGAACCCCAGCCTCGTGTCAGCAGGGAAAAGGACTCCTTGGGGAGCAGTGAGCTCCATTCCCAGCTTGCCTCCACCTGAAAAGGCTCCGAACATGTGTTTCCCTATTATGGGCCACCAGCTCCCCCTATCAGAAGGGAGCTTGATGGTATCCCCTGTAGTGTGACTCCTGGGCCTTGGAAAGGAGGGTTATCTGAAAACAGGGTTAGGGCTGCAGAGGTGACCAGGCAGGGGTAGTGGGTGCCGTCACCATCGAGGGACCAGCAGAGAGAGGAACAAAGCCTGGCCTGCCGAGCCCACCTGGAGCTGCTTTCCACTCCAGCAAAATGCTTCTGTGTCCTATGTGTAGTGTTTTTTCGTTGTCAAAATGCTTTTGCATCACATCTCATTCGATGGTTACCGTGACCTTGTGAAACACGAAGGGCAAGCCTTTCTTGTTAGAGGATAACAAGGGGATACATCCTCAAAGGGGATACATCTCAGCCTTGCACTGTGGGGGCCGGTGGGGGAAAGCCTCAGGTTAGACGTGGCTTGTCCTCCCAGAACCTCGGTTTGGGGGAGGAACGCTTTTCGTTTTTGCCCTCTCAGAAGATCTGTCCCACACATGCATGAGCAAAATCGTCAGGCCTCAGGCTTTAGCCGAGCCAGGGCCTCCCTGGTGTGTGCGCTCCCAGCGAGGTCCGAGATGCTGGGTATGGGTGATGCTGACATCTAACGCTGCAATCGGACATGGGCCCAGGTTTCTTGATTCTACCGCAGTGCTGACGCCACCACACAGTAACCATTCCTGTTTTGTTGAAGCCGCCACTGGATCCCTTATCCAAAACGGGTGACTTGTTACCCCCGCAGAGGCAAGGCCAGGGCTGCTGTCCACTCAGCTCCCCCTTGTGTACTTTTGTTAGGCAGTAGACTAGTTAAGAAGATTGTTTCTATGTACTGTATATTTTGTACCTGTTTACACCTCTAATTGATATAACTGATATTTTGAAAAACAAATGAAGAGGAAATGCCCTGTTAAAATAAAACCTAACCAGCACCCAGGCAGTTTGGTGGGTTCTGTTCTTAGACCTGCGTCTCCGGTGCTGGTGCCTCTAACCACGCGCCCCGCCCCCCGGAGGCTGTGTGCTCAGCTCCCAGCATCCTCCCCTGGCACCTGGTCACCTTGGACCCAGGGAGGTGACAGCCCCTAAGAGCTAGGAATGGAAGATTCTAGAGAAGTCTGACTCTGGAGGTAAACTGACACTTGGAGGGGAAATCAAAACGCACCCCGCCGCTGCTTCACGGCTTATGTAATTTAATCTTAAATGTAATTTGATACAATGTACATGAGGACAGGAAGGTCAGGAAAAAACTGCAGGACATCAAAGCAAAGCTGATGTGGATGTTTTCCCATCTCCTCTGGCTGGGCCAAGGCGAGGAGGGGACGGGCGATGCCTGGCGTTGTTGCGTCCCTGGCCTTGGAGTGAAGCCCTCCCCATGGCATCAGACCCAGGCTGACACCCCTATTCCCACCAACCAGAGTTAACAGTTGGTAACGGTCATCGCATGTTTTCATCTCCTTCGCCGCCCCCTTCCCAGTCCTCACGCCTCCTCACTCCCTCTCTCCCATGTGCTCTGCGTGCAGGAAACTTTTTATGCCAGAACCTCAACCGTTTAGCGGTTCACTAAATGGATGACTCGGAAGCCCCTGCTCGGCTGCACTCGCCAAGAGCGAGAGCGTGGGAGGAGAGGGTTCAGACGAGGGAGGGGGTTGAGTTCAGTTTCAGTCGTCCCGAAGGGGGTTCCCAATCAGTACTTAGGGAAACCACCAGTGGCGGGGACCCAACACTGCTCCCAAACTTCTGGGAACCCTCGCTCTGAACCCACTGCTCTGAAGCATCCTGTTCAGGCCAAAGCACAGTGGTCCCTTCCTAAGTTAGTCCTCTTGCTGCTGTGACAAATGACCACAGACTTTGTGGCTTAAGCCAACACAGACTTGTCCTACAGTTCTGGAGATCAGAGGCCAAAATGAGTTTCATGGAGCTAAAATCAAGGTGTCAGCCGGGCTCGTTCCTCTGGAGAGTCCAGGGGAGGATGTCTCCTTGCAATCTGGCCCTGGTGAGGTAGGACTCTTTCCTTGCTCTCATCTCCTGTGACTCTTGCATCTCACCCTCTAGGTCAGGGGTGGGGAATCTTTTTACTGCCAAGGGCAATTTGGATATTTATAACATCATTCTCAGGCCATAAAAAATTACCAACTTAAAAATTAGCTATGAAAAAAGCTAGATTTATTGAAATTCAAATCCCACCTGTAGTTGCCCTGGCAGGGCCTGGCCAAATGGCCCTCGGGCCGGACGATCCCCACCCCTGCTTTAGGTGCACTGAAGTGCCTGCCCTTCCCTGAGCACGTGCTGTTCCATGTCTCTGCACATGCTGTTCCCACTGTATACAGTGTCTCTCCTCCCCTTGCCCCCAGCCATCTTACCCCTCAAGTCGTGGCTTAGTGTCACCCAGCTACGGCCAGTCTCTGCAGGTGGAACTGATGCCCCCCATGTTTCTCCGTCGACCCTTGCTCAGACTCCTGTCAGAGTGTTAGCCTCTCCCTGACTTTGTATATAATGTGTTCCTAGAAATGTGTATAAAGGTGTATGTGTAAAATGAGGCGGTAGACTCACCACAGGAAGGCTTTCTTCCCTGACAGCTATAAAACTGAGTTCCTGACTTGGCGTAATCATCAAACTCCTGAGTATTGTACAACCTATATATGATTATTTAAAAATATTAAAAGCACAATTTAGACATTAAATATACGCAGTCAAATAATTTGTCTTTAAAATTTTTTTTGATCAGAAAGTTAAAAATGCACATGTTGTGGACTGAACCCCCTGAACACACTCCTGATACAAACATTTGGAAATTCCAAGTGGGATATAACAATATTAAATACAGAGCTAAGATAGGAATGTAGGGAAATCGTGTGCCAGAAATGAAGACAAAACTGAGCACCCACCATAAGGGTTTGAGGAGATGCCGCACCTACCTGGCGTGGGGTAAGGAGAAGGGCACATAGGCCTTGGGCCCATGAAGGTACGAGGTTGGAACTGACGCCTCCAGATAAAGTCCCTTGAGGGCTTCGTCTTCAGGAAGTACACAGTTCAGTAAATATGCATCCCAACACCAAAAGATGTATCCTCAGGAAGTGGACACTGACAGCAACAGGTTTGCTGGCGAATGACACCTACGAAAGGTAAAAGGAGGAAGCGGGGTTTTGCAGGCGACGTCTCAGACCAGGATGTAGATCCGACATCTGTGAAAGGAAAGGAGAGGAAGCAGGTTCAGACAGCAGGGACATGAGCAGCTCTGACGACGTTTTAGCCAACTGAACACAGGGTTCTAGAGCAAATACTGCCTGTTAGAGGAGTCATGCTGGGCAGAAATGACCAGGCCGCAGGGCCCCACCCACTCACAGCGCTCAGGCTGCCCAAGAAAACTGTGGCCTTAGCTTAAAAAGCTAAGGCATTACCCTGGCCAGTGTGGCTCAGGTGGACATCGTTCTGTGCACCAAAAGGATGCCGGTTCACATCCCGGTCAGGGCACGTACCCAGGTTGTGGGTTTGATCCCTGGTCGTGGTACATTTGGGAGGCAGCTGATCGATGTTTCTCCCTCTTCCTCTCTCAAAATCAAAAACAGCCTGGCCGGACGTCGCTCAGCAGTTGAGCATCAACCTAGGATCCAAGAGATCGCGGTTCGATTCCTGGTCAGGGCACATACCTTGGTTGCAGGCTCAATGCCTGGCCCATGTGGAAGAGCAACCAATTGATGTGTCTCACATTGATGTTTCTCTCTCTCTCTCTCTGTTTCCCTTTTACACTCTCTGAAAAGCAATGGAAAAAATATCCTTGAGTGAAGATTAAAAAAATAGTAATTTTTTTTAATTAAAAATAAAAAGCCGCCCAGCCAGGCATGGCTCAGCGGTTGAACGTCGACCTGGGATCCAGGCGCTCGGGGTTCGATTCCCGGTCAGGGCACATGCCCGGGTTGCGGGCTCGATCAGTGACTCTCTCATCATTGATGTTTCTATCTCTCTCCCTCTCCTTTCCTCTCTCTGAAATCAATAAAGATATATTTAAAAATAAAAAATAAAAATAAAAAATAAAAAGCCAAGGCATTCCCTGAAGGAGTTAATAATGAGGCAATCAGTTGACTCACTCCTTGCTACTGAATGGTAAGTTCTTGAATAGAGATCCGAGTGGTGTAACTCCACGACGGCTGGGCTCTGGGTAACGGTAGCGGATGGGGCAATATCTTTCTTGAAAATCCAAAACCACAGCTATTACCTCATGAAGGCTGGGATTCAAATTTACATCCCACAGGACTGATAAATTGACACAGGAACTGGAGTTGGGCCAATGCTAGCACTTGAGGTTTCTGGCTGAAGGGAGCTCAGAAGCAGGAGGAGCTGTCCCACAGTCCAGACGTCACAAGCCCGGCTCAGTGTAAGCTCACACTCAGAAACTGCTAAAGCCACAAGGAAACAGTCCACCATTAGTGAAAATACAGCAAACTAGGATCAAGGATCCAAGCAGCTCAATTCATGTAAATACCATCCAAAATAGAACATAAGCGTGAGTGGTTTCATAAGGTACGAAACCAACGGGGCAGAAAGTGGATGGAAAGGCACGGTAAATAGAAACCACCAAACCTTAAGAAAAATCAAGATACTATTAAAAATATTTGAAAAAAAAATTCTAAAAATAAAACATATAGTCACTGAAATTTTTATTATTATTATTTACTTTTATTGATTCTAGAGAGAGAGGAAGGGAGAGGGAGAGAGAGAAACATCAATGAAAGACAGTCATCGATCGGCTGCCTCCTGCACGCCCCCCACTGGGGATCGAGCCTGCAACCTGGGCATGTGCTCCGACCGGGAATCAAACCGGGGACCTCTTGGTTCATGGGTTGATGCTCAACCACTGAGCCATGCCAGACGGGCAGTCACTGAAATTTTTAAAAACTCAATGGGCTGGTTAAACATCAGACCTAGACACTGCTAAAAGGAATTAGTTAAATGAACGGGAGATGAGGAAAGTACATAGAATGAAGGACACAGAGAGAAAAATGATGGATGGAAACATGATACGTTAAGAGCATAGATTAGAAACCCCCACCACAGCCCGGCTGGCGTGGCTCAGTGGTTGAGCATCCACCTATGATCCTGGAGATCGAGGTTCAATTCCCGGTCAGGGCAATAAGCCTGGATTATGAGCTCAAGGCAGTTAATCAATGGCTCTTCTCTCATCACTGATGTTTCTCTCTCTCTCCCTCTCCCTTCCTCTCTCTGAAATCAATAAAGATTTTTTTTTTTAAAAAAAGAGAAACGCCTACCATACATCTAATCAGGTTTACTCATCTACACTGCTGAAATTTAGGAAACAGTTNTCATCACTGATGTTTCTCTCTCTCTCCCTCTCCCTTCCTCTCTCTGAAATCAATAAAGATTTTTTTTTTAAAAAAAAGAGAAACGCCTACCATACATCTAATCAGTTTTACTCATCTACACTGCTGAAATTTAGGAAACAGTTTGGTGGTTCCTCTAATGATTAAACATAGAGTGGCCATACAATCCAGCAATTTCACTCTAAAAGAATTGAAAGCAGGTATGCAAATAAATACAAGTACATGACTATTGGTACCAGTGCTAGTCACAATAGCCAAAAGGTGGAGACAACTCACAAGTCCATCAACTAACGAATGGGTAAACAGAATGTGGTATAGCCATATGGTGGAATATTATATCACCATAAAAAAAGACTGAGGTACTAACTCATGCTATGACATGGATGACTCCAAAAACTATTATGCTAAGTCAAAGAAGCGATTCACAAAAGACCATATGATATATGATTCCATTCCTACAAATGTCCACAAATCAGGAAATTGATAGAAACATAAAGTATATTAGTGGTTGCGTATGGCTAGGGGTNTTCCATTCCTACAAATGTCCACAAATCAGGAAATTGATAGAAACATAAAGCATATTAGTGGTTGCGTATGGCT